TAATCATAATCTGAAAGTTTCATGAAGATCGTACGTCCATAAAAAAAGTTATTAAACAATTAAGTTCTCATAGTAAGCGCACACTGCAGCCCATGCGTGTTTATGCGTGGGTGCTTGTGTGTGTATGTGTTTGTGTATGTGTGTGTATGTGTGTGTGTGTATGCGTTTGTGTGAGTATGCGTGTGTGTTTGTGTATGTGTGTCTGTATGCGTGTGTGTGTATGTGTGCCTGTGTGTGCGTACGTGCCTGTCTGTGTGTGTGTGTGCGTGTTTCTTGTGTAAGMTAARAGWCGCGAAAAATTATTGAAATATCTATTGCTCCAAGGGTTCAGGGGATCTCGTAGTCGAGCAGTCTCAACTAGAGCTTTCTTACTTGTTTTATTTTGAGATTTTTATTCCTTTGCTGTGAACGAACTCTGTAAATTAACATCTTCGAGTGAATTTTTATTCAATATTTTCCTCTCTTTACCAATTAATTTCCACTGAATGCACACAAATTTGTACAAAAGCAACTAATTGAAAAATGCATTTATCCACATCTAAACAATTTTCAAGGCCAAGTAACGGAAAACATCTAATATATCTTTGAGCAGCCAGACATTGATCAGAGCCGCTAATAGGTCAAGCCCAAGGTAATAGATCAGAGTAAATATCATGCCATAAATCGTTTTGCCCCCGTTGTTATTTTGTTTATAATGGAAAGGAAAACAATTAATGCCACCCAGAATGACATATTTGAGCTTCATTAGTGCAGTGCAATGGAAAGAAATGTATATTGAAACGGGGCAGAGTCACAGTTGGAGGATATTTTCGTATGGATGCAGCGGAGGGCATCTGTGCGCCACATGGCGCTACCTTCTACTGAAACCGAGCAGGAGAAGCAGACTGAGATCAACAGATGCAGCTCCATTGAGCTGTCAGCACAGTTAATGCATGTTGGGGCATGCAATAAGCGAGAGCCTTTGCTATAAAGGTTTTCCTCCGCATTCTGTTTATTGGCTTCTGCATAATATATATGTTTATATATAGTTTGCATTCGCGAATAAATCGGCGGACTGCAGTCGCCTCTATAGCTGCAACTTCTGTGGATTGTTTTTGTTGGTTTGTTTTTAATTTTGGGGGCCAAACTTTAAGTGTCTGTCAAACGCTGACTAATGGCCTACGGATTGGATTTATGTGGGCTAGTGGGCGTTGGGCGTTGGTCGTTGGTCGCTGGGCGTGGCTCAGCTGTCAGGCGGCGGCGTGTGAAAATTGTTAACAAATTGCAGCGTCGACACGATTCGAAAAATACATCGATTTAAATATAGAAAAAAGGAAGTGTATTGAAAACGTTTTATGTTTTCTTCATTTCTTTCTATCAATTTTTCAAAATGCACTCAAAAGTGAAATGTGTGAAAAATTGTGGCTAACATTCTGCTGGGTGGGCGGAAAATGCAACTTTAATTGACAATTTAGATTGGGAAATGCTAAAAAAATGAAAGAGAGTCTAAATGTTGGTGTGAAGTGATCAATGTGCGTTTAGTGGCGTCGCAATTGAGTTCAAATATTGTGAAAGATTTTTTAATAAGAAGAATTTGAAGCAAATTCGAAAGATTTTATAACATGTAGTTAAAAACAAGTAAGAAAGCTCTAGTCGAGACTGCTCGACTACGAGATCCCCTGAACCCTTGGAGCAATAGATATTTCAATAACTTTTCGCKTCTTTCARCWTACACAAGAAACACGCACACACACACGCACGTACGCACACACAGGCATACACACACGCATACAGACACACATACACACACACACGCATACACACACAAACGCATACACACACACACATACACACACACATACACAAACACATACACACACATACACAAACATTTACATACATATACACACACAAGCATAAACACGCATGGGCGGCAGTGAGCGCTTACTATGAGAACTTAATTGTTTAATAACTTTTTTTGTGGACGTACGATCTTCATGAAACTTTTAGATTATGATTATAACATGGATATGCATGTAATTGCCAAAGCACAAGTCTCTAGTATTTGAAATACGCTTTTTACAAAAGTGAGGGTGAGGGGGTGAATTTAAGGGTGGGGGGTAAATTTTAACAAAAACCGAAATTGTATAAATTGCATATAAGCATACATTAAAAATTTGGAGACTCTAGCAATAAAGGTGTAGAAGATATAATTTTATAACTGGTTTTCGATAAGGTTTTTTATCGATAAAAAAAGATCGGGATGAGTTATCGANATTTGCTCTATTTGCTCATATATATATGAGCAATATATGTTTATACTAAAATTGATTATTTTTAAAATAATTTCAGTATTTCACATCTAGACGCGCATTTTTCTTTATTGATTTATATTTATATTATTGCAAGATCTTAGCAAACATTTTGCACGCTCATTGCCTGTGACAGCAGTGACCGGCACCAATTGATAACAATTCACACCCAAATGTGGCCCAGTCGATGGTGTAATTAACCCAGTTTTGGTTTCTGTATCTGGTGCCGGGTTCCCCAGACCTCCCCAGACCGGCCAGTCGAATCGAATGACTCAACAGCTGTTGCTTTAAGTAATTTGTAGAAATTATGGGCCCATCATGTAAGGGATTTTATTGTTATTATAACATTAACATAATCAGCGAGGGCGATGAGAATGGAAAGACTTTTCACTCGGTTTACCATTCAAAATGAGCGAAAGAATATGGGTATAATGGATGAGTGTGAATGTCAGCTACAGAAATTAAGAATAATACGTTTAAGAAGACTTTAAAATATATACATATATTTATAAACTATGAATGTTTAACGTTGCCTTTAGGAATAAGCTAAGCTTTATATTTTACGATCAATGAATATATAAAAATATTTTACTCCAGCCTTATGATCTTTTCTTTTTGTTATCGAAACACATACATATATGGAGAGTATATAATTAAGCTAAGAATGAACTTAGTTACAAATAACTTTCTTTACAGAGTATCTCCAATTCGCATCTCGCTCTCTCTTTATGTCTTTATAGACCACTCTTACATTCATATTTACTTACTTTCCGCGATGCTTAACACTGATTTTTTTTTGGTATTCTACGCACACGCACTTTCCAATTATGCCGTCTACAACAAAATAAACTTGACTTGAATTCCAGCTAAGCTATATAATAAGCGAAGACAATCTCCCGCAAATTGTCTGCGATGTTTCTTCTGTGCTGTAATTTCGCAAAGTTTTGTAATTTTGCGCATGCGTCAAGCTTTTGCTTTTGCTTTTCTTTCATTTCTTTTTTTTTTATACCCTGAACCCATTTTCAATGGGAAATCAGGGTATAATGGTTTTGTTGAAATGTATGTAACAGGGAGAAGGAGGCGTGGCAGACCCCACAAAGTATATATATTCTTGATCAGGATGACGAGCTGAGTTGATTTGGCCCTGTCCGTCTGTCTGTCCGTCTGTCCGTCTGTCCGTCTGTCCGTCTGTCCGTCTGTCCGT